GAGAACAGCTCTGGTGCTCCCTTCATCTTGAACTGGTCCTTTGGCCTAGGAGCAGGTCCCAGGTACTTATGTGAGCATCTATCCTCTACCCCAGTTCCTGTGTGTCTCTGAGACTTAATAGATGTCACATGGTTTTCTACTTCTATGTTGGGGGAGACAAGATCTTTCACTAATTCAAAAGTGCTTTTGAATTTCATTGAATTTGAATTTCCATTTACACATGTGGGTTACTTGCTACTTTCCTCTGTCCATCTTGCCTCGATATATCCTGTGAGTGTCACATTTTCCAGGCCTTCTTTTCTCATTATGTGACCCAGAGATTTGAACTATCTTCTTTTGATTTTATATAATTCTGCATTTTGTTTCCATTTTCCTTAAAAATTTCTCATTGCTTACATGCTCTGCCCATGGTATTCTCAGCATCCTTCTGTAGAATCATATCACTGTTGGTTCAAGTCTCCACTTCATCTGTAAGGTAATTGCCCAGCATTCGCTGTCATATTGGAAGAAAGACATTACATAGTAGTTTAGCACACTTTTCTTTGTTGCTAATGGAATTTTCCTGTTTCTTAATTTCTCTCTTTTTATGTGCTGTGGCCTTTCACAATATAGGCGATCATGACTTTTCACTTCCCTGTGTCCCTTGTGGCTCTCAATAGGTTTTGTTTCTGCCAACTCCTCCAGACCATCTTCTGCCAACCACTTGCTCAAGCCTGCCACGTATGTCATACATTGCTTTCTCTTGTCTATTTTCCTTCTATTCAACCATATAGGAGGACATATGTCTCCTTAGCTATCGCAATCCGTCTTTGGATCTTAGCCTCGCACCTACTGTCCTCTGTCAAAACACTTCCCAGATACTTAAACTTCTGCACATGCTTGATTTTAGTGTCCTCAACCTGCCAATCACATTTTGGGCTTATCCTTTTACTGATGACCATCCATTCTGTCTTCTTGTAGTTTATGGTTAGTCCTTTCTTCTTGTTCTCCATCGCTAACTTATGTAGGAGGTTTTCTAATTTCTTTTCTGTGTCTTCTATCAGTACTGTGTCATCTTTGTATCTTATGGTCATAAGGTTGTGGCCGCCAAAGATGAATCCTGGTAAGATCTCCAATTCTCTCAGAATTGCCTTGCTGTATAGCTTGAATAAGTCCGGTGAGAAGACACATCCTTGCCTTATGCCTCTTTCTATTTTCATATATATGCTGGACTCATTCTCAATGCAAATGCATGTTGTTTATTGCCAGTAAAGGTTCTTGATTATTCTAATATCTTTCCCGAATATATCAAGGTTGCTGAGAAGTTCAAGCAGATCCTTGTGGCGTACTTTGTTAAACGCTTTTGCGTAGTCTATGAAACATAGACACTCATCCTTCTGCATCTGTATTGCTCTTTCTGATAATATTCTAATTTCTTAATAATGGGTTTAATTTTTGGAAGCATCTTTTGCTATCCCAATGTGCTGTTGGCATGTATGGTTTAAGGAAAATGCTTAGATACAAGTTAAAATGATAACAATATTTATTATAGTGACGTCGCCCCCCCCCTGGTCGCAGCGTCGACTCTGTCGTTCGATCTCGTTCGCGGCACCAGTTGTGACGTCGTGTGCTCTCCAGGCTCTGATATCCTGGTCACGGACAGCACCAGTTGTGATGTCTTTGCTGCGGCGTCAGCTGTTCGCTCCTCGCTGCTCCAAGTGTGACGTTCTAACCCTTTGGTTAGATGAATACCAGCCTCGCCGTTCCCAACTCGCTTCCAACGCCTGGTTACTAGGGTAACTGCACTGATCTCCGGTTTGCCTACCCACATTGTGATTAGATCTTAGACAGACGGGATCAAACAGGGGTTGGGGCCGTATGCCAGCTGGGTTCAACGGGGGTGATAACACACAAGAAAAAGAAAAACTCACAAGGTCAAAAATTATTAAAAAAAAAAAAGGTAACAACCTTTTATATCCAAATGTTCGTTACACAAAATTGTTCCTACCTCCCGACCCGTTTTGTGGACTGTGGCACCAAGCTTCTACCATAAAACTTTAAGACTTCGAGTTGCTTGTTCTCTAGAAATTTGCATTTCGGTGTGTGGTTTGGTTTCGACACTGATCGCTGATCTCTACCAGTTGTTCACGGCTGATTTCCCTCGCCGTCAGTGCGCGAATTAACTTCTCTTCTTCGGCTTGAGTTGGACGAATTTATTCGGCTTGAGTTGGACTTCGACTTGAGTTGGGCGAATTTCTATTCTTAGGCTTGGTTTGATTTCAACTTCTTCTAGGCGCAACTGCAAGTTAACTTCTTCTTCGTCCCCGAGGCTTCTCGTCCCAACTCAACTGCAACTTCTCTGCCTGTCCGGCCTGCAACTCCAACTTCTCTTCGACTTTTGGGCTGCAGCTCCAACTCTTCTTAGGCTTTCGGGCAATTTTCTTCCTTCGACTTGGGCTGGACGAATTTCTTCACTCCGGTTCTCTTGCCCGCAAAAGGCGAATGAACCGGCCCGCCGCCCGCGTTCAAACTCCCTTGCTGTCCGCCCTGCAACTGATTTCTGTCGATTGGGGTCCTGCTTTTATTGACGCCGTAACAAACTGGGGTGGGTCTGTCAGCGCCAGGGTTTTCTTGATAATTCCAAAAGTCGCATTATTTCTGATTTCCCATTATCGCTCTTACTTTCACTCCTACTTCCTTACAGTGCCTCTGGGGGAGGCGCATACCCCTTCCCCTGGTCTCTCGTATGTCAGGTGACCGCTCTCGACCAATGGGGTCCTGGTCGGCATCTTTCCTCCTCCCTCGCACATCCGTGACCGCTCTCGGCCAATGAGACCCTGGTCGGGTGTCTCTCCTCCTCCCTCATGTATCATGTGACTGCCCTCGGCTAATGAGACTCTGGTCGGTATCTTTCCTCCTTCCTTCGTGACGTCTCCAATCGGGCGTGTACAATCCGGGGCTTTGTTCTGGGGAAGAAACACCTTGCCAAAAAAACAAAATTTAAATTGTCTTTTTTCACACGTGGTATTTGTCAAAACAGCCCGCCGCTAATTAGATGCGACCTAAAGAAAGAATATTTCCGCCTTGTCGGCGTCTTCCGAGCTAAAACAAATATTTCACCTCTTTCTTTCGCTCGGGCCGTTAACAAAATCTTAATTATCTAAATTGAAAATATTCTTCACTCATCATCGTGAGTGGTTCTTATCTTCAACTCTAGAACTGGTCAGGGTTCGTGTACCAATGTTTTGTTTTCGTATACATTTCCCAGCGGTCACTTATCATCTCAATGACACCCTTTTCGTTCGTTACCTATTAATATTTTTTTTTCATTGTCCCTAAAATCTTATTTCTTCAGCCAAATTGATAACAAACTCCCATACTCCGCGGACACGAAAGTAGGTCAGGTGCTTGACCGACATCTGTTATGCATCAATCGCGCGTGTGCCTATCCACTCATGACGCCGTCTCGTATCATGTTCCTGTCTTTCCCTTTTTTTTTTCTTTTTATAATTTCTAAACTCTATTCCTTCAACCAAATATAACAATTTCTATTTTCCGTGGATTTCGGTCAGGTACTTTGACCTGGATATCTTTTTGACCTGCGTGTTTTTTTTTCTTATGACCGGGTTTTGTACTATCTATTTCTCTTTCTCTTTCTTTTTTTATTATTTTTTTTTCCTTTCCTTCTTTCTTCGGATCGCCTAAATACAATTAGAGAATTATTCTCAAAACTCAATTATTCTTCGTCTCTAAATAACTATCAACTGGTTAACAAACCAAATAAAAATAAATCATATTTTTATGAATATCTCTTTTCAGTTTTCTAATAATGCAGGGTGCCACATTATTAGAAAAGTTAATACAGACATTGTCCCCAGCACCCTACATAGAATACATATCAGTGGGGTTTATTGTTGACACAGATAGCAAGTATCTATTTCATGAGAACAGCTCTGGGGTTTCCATCATCTGGAACTGGTCCTTTGGCCTAGGAGCAGGTCCCAGGTACTTGTGTGAACATCTATCCTCTACCCCAGTCCCTGTGTGTCTCTGAGACTTAATAGATGTCACATGGTTTTCTACTTCTATGTTGGGGGAAACAAGATTTTTCATTAACTCAACAGTACTTTTGAATTTCATTGTCACCTTTTCCATCATCTGTTAAAACATTTCCCAGATATTTAAATTCTTGTACTTCTTCAATATTACCATCTCCAATTCATAGTTTTTATCTTGGATTTTTTTCTCTTGCTGAAAACCATGCATTTTGTTTTCTAACAATTGATGGTTAGTCCTTTCTTCCTGCTTTCCTTTATTACCTTTCTAAGAGGGGCTAAAATGTGTATTTCATCATTAACTAGCATTAACTTTACATTAGACATGACTATATATCCCTTATCGTAGCCCTTCGCTAATCTGTCCATGTGACTAAGGGCTGATGTTATGTCTTCATGACCTTGACCTTTTCTTCATTGCGTTGCTACACACCCTGCAATTTAAGTTCTTCCAGTATTACCAACCTAGTTGGAATACACTTTGTGAGCAGTTTATATATTCTATAATTCGTAGCACATGTCAGTTTATTTTTCTTGAGATTTTTAGTACTATGCAAGACCAGTTAATGTTTACAGTCCATTTCCATAGAAACGGGCGACTTCTCACGGAACGCTGCAGAAGCTCTCTCCCGGGGGTCTATTATTAATGGCAGATTACCTAATTTAGTTTCATGGAAAAATAACAATTTAGAGAGGAAACTACAAAACCTGTACAACACCATTTGCATAATAACAGATGAAGATGATTTCATAATTTACACCATTTGATTTAAGTTGATTGTTTCTTGCTACTTTTTTACACAAAATTAAATACCTATTGGGCGTTGTATTCACAGAAGTTACACTGATATTTAAAGTCTGCTCTCTCTCTATCAGGTCAAATTATTTTAGACTGAGTTTTAGCAGCAGGCAGAGAGGTAGTCGTAAATTATAAGAAAAACAAAATCCCTTCTTGTTGACACAGATATGGATTTATTTGGGGTTTTATATATTCCTAATTTTTTGTTGGTCACATTAGCCATTGTCATCACCCTTTATTTGTAAGTTTTAAACTTATTATTTTTATTGTTTTCACAGAAGAAACAAATTCTTACATATTCCATTGTGTAACTTTTTTTTTGAAAATACTTTCGTTTTCTTCTAAAATTTGATATTTTCAAATCAATTCCCTTTTGACATTTTTTTAAGTTAGTAAAATAAGTCAACGATTTTTTTAAAGTATTTGAATTTTGACCCATGTTTTTTTTTGTTGTCTATTTTTAAATCTTTTTTCTTTTCTTGGCAGTTTAAAAAGTTAAAAATTACGTAAATTCAAACGAATAAAAAAAACTAAGTTTCATTGTCATTTGGTTGGTGAACATGAAAATTTGGTTGTCAAACATCAGAAGTTCACATTTTGTTTCACTAATTATGCACGTTTCTTATTTTTATTACATTTTTTATTTATTTTTGATAATTTATTAGAAATCGCTTTAAAAAAGAATGTTTGCCATTAAAAATCCGTCTTTTTTGAAGCACAGATCATTTGTTGATAAAAATCAAGGTTGATTTTTTTTTTCCTAAGTGATAAAGTGAGATAAACTTTTAAAATCGTTCACATTTCAAATGCAATGGACTTTTTTTTTGCAACAACTGAAATATCTTTCTTTCTTTCTTTTCTTTTTTTTTTTTTTTTGAAGATATAATTTTTGACAAAATTGAATTGAAAGAAAAATTACCAAAATTCGATGGGAGAAAAAACTGAAAAAAGAAAGACAACTTTCACAGAATTAAAAACGTTTCCGTAATTAAAGTACATTTTTATGACTGATTTTAAAGTTTAGTTTTAGAAAAATAATGTAAACTAAATTATTTGACTATAAAAATAAAATACATTCCACCATAGTTGATTGATATCTGCAAACAGAAAAATTAAACTTTAAAAATCTCACACAAGAAAAAAATATTGTTTGAAGCAAAAGATGTTCAGTTAATTAATTCAACTATTAATTAACTTGATTTTAAAAAAAATGTTACTTCCTGTTGTTGATTATTTCAAAATACATTTGTATAAGACGAAGAGCAGTGAGAGTTATTGTCAGGTCAAAGGTCGGATTATTGTTGTTTACTTATCTTACAACCACGTATCTCAATACCGCGGGAAAGTTGCTCATGTCCTCTCGACACTTTTGTTTGGGGATGCTGCGCAATGACTCCAGCCACCTTCCGAAAAAGAGGTTTACTGCCTGAGGAGATGGTTCCCCGGGGATTTGAGCAGATTTTATTAACCTCCTGCGGTAAAAACCAGGGTTAACCACCCAGTGTCTACAACTAAAAAAACGCATTAATTTTTTTCGACGCTTTTTTTTTACGGAAGAGAAAGAAGAAAAGAATGCGTAAAGAAGAAAAAAAAAACCTTCAGTTTACAACGTACAATCAAATTTGTGTTTTTTTAAATTTTGTTTATAAATATTAAACAACAGCAACTGACGAATCACAACTTCAAGGAAAATTAACAGAATTCAATAAAAGTTTTTGCTACATTTATTTTATAATTTATTTTTTATTTCGAATAAATTTAGATACTTCCACTAATTCGTTTTGTAATCTAGCCAACGGATTCTTTAAAAAAAAATTATAGACCCTGAACAATTCTATTCTGTTGCTAATTTGTTTTTACTAACATCAAAAAAGTAGGTACCTCCAAACTCAAAAAATGAGCATACATTGTGAAAAAAAAGACCCAAAATTTAATCAAATCACTCAAAACGTTTCTCTTTTCTTTTAGAAAATCTTGCAGATTCTTGCTAATTTTTTTTTTAATGTTCTCATTTAGTTATAAAAGCAGAACTTGGAGAATTTAAATTACCATTTTTTTTTCTAAAACAGGACCTGTAGTTACATAAATATGCTTTGAATTGTACAATAAAAAAATGCAATAAAGCTAAGTAAGATATTATTTCATTTTAGCTGGTTTTGAGCTAATTGTTTGATAAACTTGGAAAACTTTTCACTCAAAATTCAGAAAATATTTAACAACCTGGGCTGTGTTCTGGGCAGAAATGATTGACTGCATTGGCATATAAAGTCCAATGCTGCTCTGGAGAATGGATTAGACATCAACATAGCATGTAGGAGCTGTGTCAATAGACCAATCAGGCATAAGAGCTGTGAACTATGACCTGAAATGATAAAAGTCTACTACTACTACTACTACTATTGTCACAGAAAAAACAAAAAAAGAAAGAAAAAACCCTAAAAACCTACAAGAGTTTTCTTTGCTAAGAACCTCTTTTCTAAACATGGAAGTGTTTCATATATAAGAACGCCTGACACCAGTAAAACCAACCTTGCCTGAGGTAGGTTGATCTTTTTTCATCCTGTTACAGAATTTGAAGGACAGGATCAGAATGGTCAGCAATTGGACAGAGTGACTTATAGGTGAGGCATTCTAACAGTGATGGATTACCTTTGTCTGGGTTTTAAATATAAGTCCAAAATGGTGCAAATTCAACAGAGGGTCTCAAGAATTCTGAAGCATCAATACACCTTCCATTCCCAGGTTTGCAATTCACTAATACCACCTACAGAGGGACGCTGAGCCAATGTGCGGCATGCATTCCTGTCATGTCAGTCTGACTATGGCCTCTTAGACTGTCATTCTTAATAAAAATGAATGCCAAAAGTAAATGACCTGTTCATGATACCATTTTTATTAATAGTGTGGAGATCCCAAGACAACACAGAACAACCCCCCCTCAACTTTAAACCTTTGACATTTTGAATTGTGAACTTTTAGAAGTAAGTAAATTTTGTTTGTTAGTAAGAAATTGATTTAAATGAATTGTTTCTCTAAAATAAAGTTGTTAAAAGTTCTTTGTTGTTAAGGAAAAAATGAATTTTTTGTGAACTGTTTTCTAAAAGAAAATGGATTTGTATTTTGAAAGAACTGTTAATCTACCTTGATAGCTTAAGGTGCACAAGGAATATTATATATTATAATTTATACATTATGTAAATATTTTTGTCATTGTAATAAATGTATGTTTTTTTTACAAATTTCACTTTGTCTTTTTTATTAGTGCCTCTAGTACTTGGAAAAGACAAGAAATTTAAAAATCTCCTCCTCTTTTGACATCCCACTTGATCCTCCACTTCTCTCTCTCTCTCTCTCTCTTTTTTCCTTTTTTTAATGTTTATTTTTTACAAGTAAACTGTTTTACAGTAAACATTTTAAATAAATTTTAAATGTTGTCTGCTTTAGATAAAAATCATTTTATTTTTCAGGTTCCAATTTTCTCTAATCTTTCTCTTTTTGAAATGACAATAAGATTATTCTGAGATAATCAATATGTAACAAGTTCTTAACTGTTTTTATTGACACTTACCATTTTATTTTCAAATGTCCATGACATGACCTGAGAGCATGTGGTAAATTAATAAGTTTTAAGATAAAAATGACAAAAAGAAATTGTTGAAAATAATCAGCAAGTGACTGGTGAAATGTTGGTGAAAACTAATGAGGAAAGAAGGCTTAGAGAAATTAATTCTCTCATGCTATACTGAAGTCAAGAAGAGTTGGGGAAAATGGAAAGTTACCTATTTAACGAGTTTGAGCAAATGAATTATGTATCACAAAAAGAAAAAGCTTAGGCTTACAAAATGTTACTTGTTCTTTAGAAGCCGAGATAGGAGGCTATGGAGAACCTCAATTTCATACATCCTGAAGGGATATGGCACATAAAGAGGGAGTATGTGTGTGTGTGTGTGCGTGCTTACAAGAGAGAGAGAGAGAGAGAGAGAGAGAGAGGGAGAAAGAGAGTATCAAGGGATTAAAAAGTGTTCTCTGAGTCATTTAGGCAAAATATTCAAATAAAAAACATTTTATTTTTAAGAAATCATAAAAACACTCAGCTCTCTTTTCACTCTTCCTTTTCAGCAGCTAAAACCTTCGAGCCTTGGGTTTTGTTCTTTCCTCTCACACTGCTAAGCGCACACATGCTTACACACACACATACACTCACACAGAAGCAATCAAAAAAATTCCTACATTATCTTTCAAATTGAAATTTCCTGGTTGTATTTCACAATCATATAATAATTGTGTGTGTCCAGTCGATTGTTACTTCATATGTCCAAAACTCCGCCCACTTCGTGGAAATAATCAAAGATGCTCCCATTTTATCCAACCAGATGGTGAGCTTGGACATGGTGAGTCTGTTCACCAAGGTACCCACGGAGGAGGCACTCTCAGTAGTCAGAGAAAGATTGACCTCTGACTCTTCTCTAGAGGAGCGGACCAGTATTCCAATAGATAATCTGATGGAGATGTTGACTTTCTGTACACAAACAACACACTTCAGAATGGGATCACACATATATCGACAGGATGAGGGCTTAGCAATGGGCTTGCCATTATCACCAGCAATGGCGAATATATACATGGAATACTTTGAAGAAATGGCATTAGAGTCTATATCGCTAAAGCCAACTATATGGTTAAGGTACGTAGAAGACACCTTCATACTCTGGCCACATCAGGAAGATGTCCAGGTTCTACTGGACCATGTGAACTCAATAAGACCTTCGATACAGTTCACAATGGAGAAAGAGAGTAACAACTCACTCCCATTCCTGGATGTACTAATATCTCGAACAGAGCATGGGTTTAAGACATCCGTATACCGTAAACCAACATTCACCGGACAGTACCTCAATTTCAACTCCCACCATCCATACAGCGTAAAAAAGGGATCGTCCGATGCTTACAACACCAAGCAAAAAGTCATAAGTGGCGATCCAGAGACGTTAGATAAAGAATTGGTCAGTATAAGTAGTACCTACAACGTAACAACTACCCTGGGTACATGGCAGCAGCCCCAAAAAACTGGGATAGGCAGCTACAAGAGGAGGAGGAGGAGGAGGACAACAACACTCAGAAAACAGTCTGCCTGCCTTATGTGAAGGGGTTATCAGAGAAAATACAAAGGATCTGCGGTCCATATAACATCAGGACAACCTTCAAAAGCGTGACAACACTTTGCAGATATCTCTCACAAGTAAGACCCCCCATAGAGGAAACATGACTAAAGACTGTGTGTACGCTATCCCATGCAGCTGCGGAAAGGAATATAAAGGAGAGACAGGCCGCCCCCCCTCAAGGTAAGGCTTCAAGAACACCAAAAGCTGTAACACGAGGGGAAGTAGAAAAATCAGGCAGTGGCTGACCACATATGGAGAGAGAGAGGGGAGATCACCGCCCCCTGTGGGATCATGTTGAGATCATAGACAGGGAACACCATTGGAAAATCCATAAACTTAAGGAATCAGCACATATGCTAGGCCACAAAAATCTCCTGAGCTGACCAAGCATAGAAATAAATACAATATGGGAACCAGTAATAAGGAGTGCCAGAGAAAAGCAATGATAACAAAGTTGCAATATGAACTCTGGTAAAGTCATGCAATAATAACAGCAAAATTGCAATATGAGCACTGGTAAAAATGATGCTGAAAACATTAGGTTTATAATACTCAGAAGTTCATACCCAGATGTCCTCAAGGACACATGGTACAGTGGATAAAGGCGGTGGTTAGATCCAGTGACAGACCCAAAGAAGGTGAGTTCAATTCCTGGTTAAGCATAACTTTCAGAGGGAAAATTAGCAGGAGATAACTGATAACTGATATCCATCAAACATGGCACGTGGAACTAGGACAGTCTACTCCAGTGGTCGAAATAAAGGGTTCAGTTCGAAATTCCAACCACCTGAAGAAGGCCGGAGTGTACAACGGCTGAAACGTTGTGACAAATATGGCAACAAAGATGAGGACAATAGTCCAACTAATGTAAATACTGTACATAATACCTCATCTCAGAAATATAAACAGACCCAAAAATGAGAAGTATGAATGAAAAACTATTAAAGTTGGCTTCAAATTAAAAAAAAAGAAAATAAGTTGCTGGTTGGTTTCTTTTGAAGTCAAACATCTTGTTGCATTTATAAATCAACTCAAATATTTGTTCAGTTGGATTTGGATTTGTTGTAATTAATTCAAAATTTTAAGATAATTACCTAATAATCTAGAAGTAGATATACAAAATGAATGTCAATTACATAATCCTTAAGAGAAAAGATCATGTCATGTATCTGAAAGTATGAGTCTTAAATTGAAGCAAAATTTGTCAACTGAAATATTTGTTCATTTGTATTTGTGTTTTAATTCATCCTTTTCTCTAAAATGATTAAAAGTAATTCGGAATGTCTATGTTCTTTGTTTTATCTACTTGGTAGGAAGTCATATTTTAGTGAAAGACATTATTTTTCTTTTATAGCTATGGAAGAAGAACTTATGGCTTTTTTACTGAATATGGAATTAAAGGCCCAAAACCAATTGCTTATCTTGGAAATCTTTTGGAAATGAATAGAAGAGTGAGTATTTAATATTTGAAAAAGAAATTCATTGCTGTTTAAAAATTCTTTATGGAATCCAAATAATTCCTTTCAAACATTTTAATCTTTGACATGCTCAGTGACTGTGTTTACTTATTGACCAAAACTTATCATTCCAGTGGACAACATGATGTAATTATATCAAAACTAAGGAAAATATCACAAGTTTTTCTAAATTTAATTTGAAATATTTCTGTCATCCCTTGTGAAAGATATTTGTGTTCAGGTCAGTTTACAATCAATTTTGGTGAAAATTTGTATTTTTAACTATTGATTATTTTTTTATTATTTTTATTACAGGGTTTTGAGAATGTATTTTTTGATTGGAAAAGAAATTATGGAGACAATTATAGGTAAAATATTTTTCTATACAATCTGTTTAGAAAAGTCAGCTGTCAGCATTAATCTAACAGAATGTCATTATGCACACTTTCGCCAGAACATATGTTCATATAAAATTGTGGAGAATTTTTTACTTTGCCTCATATCATCTGAAAAGAAATTTTGAAAAGATAAACAAAGATTTTTCTCCAAAATCTTCAAAATTCTAAAAATGAATAATCAAAGAGGAAAATAGACAATATATTTTTTATAATCAGTGGTTCAGATGGATTGATAGAGTATTTGATTTCATTTAGAGACATGTTGATTTCAGAGGGACAACCTTTTTTCTTTTCAAGATTTATCAAGAAAAAGTTAAAATAAAAAAAAAAAAGAAACTTTCAAATGTTGAGTTGGTATTGGAAAACATTTTTTACAAGCATGGAGAATTAGTAAAGATGAAGATGTAAGAAAAAAAAAAAAATCCAAGCTTGATTTTGATCAGTAAAATTTAAATTTTCTTCTTTTGTTAAGGAAACTTTTTCATACACTAAGTATATATATATATATATATATATATATATATATATATATATATATATATATATATATATATATATATTTCAAGAGTTTGTTCTAAAAACAATTTTTTTTTTTCAAACTAATGATACATAATAATTTTTCATTTCCATTTTAAATTTTAATTCCATTCAGTCATTACTGAGTGTATTTATTTTCTTGTAGCATTTTTTTTGGATTGCAACCCATTCTGGTTATTTCTGACCCTGAAATTCTTAAAGATGTGATGGTCAAAAATTTCTCCAATTTTACAAACAGACCTGTAAGTAATTTTTCCTTTCTGATTTCAACCACATTTGGAAGATATTATTTTAGTTCAGTTTAGTTGTATAAAAGAACAAATTAGTGGGAATGGGAGGAGGAAGATTGTGTTGCGCCAATCTCCAAAAGGGAGGAGACCTACCTGCTTTGAAAATGATAATCTGAAATTCTAGCATTTAATTGAACTTTAGGATGGACAGTGACTTTGAAATGCAAATCTGCCTGTCAATAGATTCTTAGTATTATTTTTATGATCAATTATTCATCAATATGATCAAATTTTCTCTCATTTACACTGAACATGAATTTAAATAAAGTTTTATATTTACTTTTTAATTATTTTCACCAAGATTATTAGATTGTCGTCACTGAAATGTATTCATTTAAATGCATTGTGTTTTAATTACAAACACTTGTTTAATTTGGTTCCATTATCAGAGTGTATATCAAAGTTGAATTGTGATATATATATATATATATGTGTGTATATTAATTCTGTTTTCTCTTTTAATATATCTTTATTTCTTTTGACAGTTATTATTCCCAGTAGATGAGTACAGTGCAAACATGTTAATTATAACAAAAGATGATCACTGGAAATACCTTCGTACTGTCTTGGCACCATCTTACAGCTCGAAAAGAATGCGTGAGGTTCGTATCTAACAAAATGTTTCTTTTGGATATTTATTGTTGGAGTTGAATTATTTTAATAAATGAATTAATCATGATTAATTCTATAAACTGATTATCCCAGATGAGAATTTTAGGATAAAGAATGACATTATCAGAGGAATAGAAGCCATCTAGAATAAGATTAAAGAAAAATGAAAATAAATGATGTCTTTCTATCTGATCCCATTTTTAACCTTTAACCTTTAGAACTCTGCATTATTAATATTACTGTATTGCATTATTGGGGCAGATTGATACCTGTGACCACTACCCATAGGAAAAGGAGGTCTTGCTGATTTTGGAGATATAATTAAATTTTCAGGGCCAGACAACAAAAGGGCTCTTGCTGGAAGATAGTGTAAACACTGAGTCTGTAGTGTCATGCCCCATGCTGGTTTTAGTTGAATGTCAATAAATGCAAGGAACCAAAGTGGCTGAGATAGTTACTGCATTACAGAAGCTGAGATGAGAGACACTTGCATTGCCTGATATCACAGTACTGCCTGCCTGAAGAGAACCACCGTCATAAGCCTTGTGCCAGACTTAACCAAATCAGCTGAACTGTCATGTTCAACTTACGAAGTGGGTTGGTTCAATAATTTTTTTCATGATGAATTGACAAATTCTAACATCAAGTCTAACCAAGCACTGTACAAAAGAATGCATATAAAAGCACTTATTTTTATTCAAGTTATTTTTTTGATCACTTGCATCTTCACTCTGCCTGGATCAAACCAATGATGATGATTCCTGATAACAATTTGATCTTTGCCAGCCTTATATTCAAAACTAAACACAATGTGGGAGAAGGCAATGGTTTGATCAAATTGATCATCAATCAGCTGTGGGGATTGGATATTTGGATGTACTGTCAAGAAGAAGCCCACTATCTATCTGATGTCATTTTTAGCCTTTAACACTCTGCATTATTAATATTACTACTCTTTCTACTACATTCTTTACCAAGGCCTCTAAATTACAATATCCTTTTACTCAAAGTTGTTTTCTGTTGCCATAGCAGGATATAACAACACAACTATGAAATTCAAACAAATTCAATTTCAGGGATCAGAGTCACTTTCAGTGGCAGGATAAACTTTTTGTACAGCAAATGAAGTCATGTACAAAATGATAAAGTTTAAAACAAATCATTATCTTGGAGGATAACATTAGTGTAAATAACAACATTATTACAATAACTTTCAAAAGACTGACATTAAAATTCATGAAAATTCATTAAAATACATTAAAATACATGAAAATACTGACATTAAAATACATGAAAATTCATTAAAATTTTCCTAAATTATAAGCATTTTATTTTTTCTTTTCAGATGGTTCCCTTGATTGAAGATGTTCTGAAGACTTTTGAAAAAAACTTAAATAAAATTGCAGACAGCAAGGAAGCATCTGATGTAACCATGTGAGTTATTTGGTATATGTTAATATTATCATATGCCTTCACCTAAAATATAATTTGCCAAGTGATTTTTTTGTTTGTACTCTTTGTCACTAGAGTTGTCTCCCTTCACTCATATATGAAAACCTAACAATTACAAAGGCGTCATTTTTGACAATGTGAGTAAACTCTTAAACTTGACAATATTTGTAAACTATTTTTAATAGAATCTGTGATGATGTATAATTGGCTCAATAATATTTTGCTAATTTTGTTTCAATAAACTGTGAATTTCATCTTTTCTCTTCATCATTTGAAAGAATGAAAGCATTCTTGGAAAATGTATTTATAAAGAATTAACTTTCAATGACCAAAGAAATGTTGCAATTGATTTTCTTAACATTTTCATCCCTATTTTCATTCTTCACACTTGGAGTATTGTCTTCATCTTTGATGCTATCATCCCAATCTTTTTATCATGATGCTCACCAATCAGAATGACAAGTACTTTGATGAGGGCCAGAGGGAAATAGTATGCTGATGAAGGTCAAAGGGAACATGTATTTTGATGAAAGCCAGTGGGAACAAGTACCCTGATGAAGGTCAGAGGGGAAAAAGTACTTTGATGAAGGCAAGAGAGAACAAGTATTTACATGAAGGTGAGGGGGAAGAAGTACTTTGATGAAGGCCAAAGGGAATAATTATTTAGATGAAAGCCAGAGGGAACAGGTACTTTGATGAAGGCCTGAGGGAACAATTACAGTGACGAAGGCCAGAGGGAGTAAGTACTTTGATAAAGCCCTGAGATAACAAGTACTTTGATGAAGGCCAGAGGGAACAAGAACCCTGATGAAGGCAAGAGGGAACAAGTACTTTGATGAAAGCTCGAGGGAACATGTACATTAATAAAGGCCAGAGGGTATAAGTACTCTGATGAAGGCAAGAGGGGACAAGTACTTTGATGAAGGTGAGATGGAACAAGTACTTCGATGAAGGCCAGAGGGAACAAGTATTTCGTTGAAGGCCAGAGGGAACAAGTAGCCTGACAAAAGACAGAGTGAAGAAGTATTTAGTTAAAGGTCAGAGAACAAGTATTTAGATGAAGGCTAGGGGGAGTAAGTTCTTAGATTAAGGCCAGAGTGCACAATCACTTTCATGAAGTTTGGGGAAGCAAGTATTTACATGAAGGCCAAAGGGAACACATACTTAAATGAAGGCCAGAGCGAACATGTACCCAGATGAAGGTCAGAGGGAACACGTATTTTGATGAAGGCCAGTGGGAACAAGTACCCTGACGAAGACCTGAGGGAACAAATAGTTTGATGAAGGCAAGAAGGAACAAGAAGCCTGACAAAGGCCAGAGTGAACAAGTATTTAGATGAAGGTGAGAGGGAAAAAGTACTTTGATGACGGCCAGAGGTAATAAGTACTTACATGAAAGCCAGAGGGAACAAGTACTTTGATGAAGGCAAGATCGAAGTAGTACTTTGATGAAGGCCAGAAAAATAGATGAAGGCCAGAGGGAATAAGTACTCGGAAGCAAGAGGGAACAAGTACTTTGATGAAGGCCAGAGGGAACAAGTACTTTGATGAAGGCCAGAGAGAACAAGTACTTTGATGAAGGCAAGATCGAAGGAGTACTTTGATGATGGCCAGAAAAAGTAGATGAAGTCCAGAGGGAATAAGTACTCGGAAGCAAGAGGGAACAAGTACTTTGATGAAGGCAAGATCGAAGGAGTACTTTGATGAAGGCCAGAAAAAAAGTAGATGAAGTCCAGAGGAATAAGTACTCCAAGCAAGAGGAACAAAAAGTACTTTGATGAAGGCCAGAGGGAACAAGTACTTTGATGAAGGCAAAAGATCGAAGGAGTACTTTGATGAAGGCCAGAAAAAAAGTAGATGAAGTCAGAGGGAATAAGTACTCGGAAGCAAGAGGGAACAAGTACTTTGATGAAGGCAAGATCGAAGGAGTACTTTGATGAAGGCCAGAAAAAGTAGATGAAGGCCAGAGGGAATAAGTACGCGGAAGCAAGAGGGAACAAGTACTTTGATGAAGGCCAGAGGGAACAAGTACTTTGATGAAGGCAAGATCGAAGGAGTACTTTGATGAAGGCCAGAAAAAGTAGATGAAGTCCAGAGGGAATAAGTACTTGGAAGCAAGAGGGAACAAGTACTTTGATGAAGGCCAGAGGGAACAAGTACTTTGATGAAGGCCAGAGGGAATAAGTACTCGGAAGCAAGAGGGAACAAGTACTTTGATGAAGGCAAGATCGAAGGAGTACTTTGATGAAGGCCAGAAAAAGTAAATGAAGTCCAGAGGGAATAGGTACCCGGAAGCAAGAGGGAACAAGTACTATGATGAAGGCAAGATCGAAGGAGTACTTTGATGAAGGCCAGAAAAAGTAGATGAAGTCCAGAGGGAATAAGTACTCGGAAGCAAGAGGGAACAAGTACTTTGATGAAGGCAAGATCGAAGGAGTACTTTGATGAAGGCCAGAAAAAAAGTAGATGAAGGCCAGAGGAATAAGTACGGAAGCAAGAGGGGAACAAGTACTTTGATGAAGGCCAGAGGAACAAGTTCTTTGATGAAGGCAAGATCGAAGGTGTACTTTGAGGAAGGTCAGAAAAAGTAGATGAAGTCCAGAGGGAATAAGTACTCGGAAGCAAGAGGGAACAAGTACTTTGATGAAGGCCAGAGGGAACAAGTACTTTGATGAAGGCAAGATCGAAGGAGTACTTTGATGAAGGCCAGAAAAATAGATGAAGGCCAGAGGGAATAAGTACTCGGAAGCAAGAGGGAACAAGTACTTTGATGAAGGCCAGAGGGAACAAGTACTTTGATGAAGGCCAGAGGGAATAAGTACTCGGAAGCAAGAGGGAACAAGTACTTTGATGAAGGCCAGAGGGAACAAGTACTTTGATAAAGGCCAGAGGGAACAAGTACCCTGATGAAGGCCAGAGGGAACAAGTACTTTGATGAAGGCCAGCAGGAACAAATACTTTGATGAAGGCGAGAGGTAACAATTACCCTTATGTAGGCCAGAAGGAACAAGTACTTTGATGAAGGTGAGAGGGCGCAAGTACTTAGATGAAATCCAGAGTGAACAAGTACCCTGATCAAGGCCAGAGGGAATAAGTACTCAAATGAAGGCCAGAGGGACATGTACATTCAGTATGGCCAGAGGGAACAAGAACTTTGATGAAGGTCAGAGGGTATCAGTACTTTGATAAAAACCAGAGGGAACAAGTACCCTGATGAAGGCCAGAGGAAGGAGTACTTCGATGAAGGCCTGAGGGAAAAAGTACCCTGATGAAGGCCAGAGGGAAGAAGTACTTTTATGAAGCCTGAGGAAGTAAGCATTTTGATGAAGGCCAGAGGGAATAAGTACTTTGAAGAAGGCAATAGGGGGCCAGAACAAGTACCCTGATGAAGGTGAGAGAGAACATGTACTTAGATAAATGGCAGAGGGAACAAGTACTTTGATGAAGGCCAGAGGGAACAAGTATTTAGATGAAGGCCAGAGGGAACAAGTATTTAGATGAAGGCCAGAGGGAATAATTTCTTAGATTAAGCCCAGAGTGAACAAATACCCTGATAAAGGCCAGAAGGAATAATTACTTAGATGAACACCAGAGTGAACAAGTACCCTAATAAAAGCTAGTGGGAATAAGTACTTTGATGAAGGCCAGAAGGAACAAGTATTTTGATGAAGGCGAGACGGAATAAGTACTTTGATGAAGACAAACAGGAACAAATACTTTGGTGTAGGCCAGAGGGAATAAGTACTTTGATGAAAGCCAAAGGAAACAAGTATCCTGATGAAGGCCAGAGGGACAAAGTATTTTTTTGAAAGGCCAGAGGGAATAAGTACTTACATGAAGGCCAGATGGAATAAGTACTTTGAGGAAGGCAAGAGGTACATGTACTTTGATGAAGGCCTGAGGGTACAAGTACTTTGATGAAGGCCAGTGGGAACAAGTACTTTGATGAAGGCCAGAGTGAATAATGGCTGAAACGCTATGATTATAACAAAAACGATGAGGACAATAATGAAATTGCAAATGACATAAATAATGTTAACTCATCATCTTAGAAATTTATGCAGAATTTTTATTATTTCTCTAAATCTTCATGGGAACATGACAAAGAGAAGATTTTTATGGTTTCTGGTCATAGTATTATTTGGTCACTGTACCAAATAAAAGAAACCACATTATTTGAGGACTTTCAACAGCAGTAACAACCTAAATGGATAGCACATGCAGCTCAAAGAGAAAATAATGACATCATCAAGATTACTTTAAACAAACGTTAGGAACAATGTCCCCATCAATACTAGAAACAGCAACAACTGTTACTGGACTTGAGAAACCTATTTTCTTGAAAAATATTTTTAAGAGAAAGATCTTAAAAAATTTGATTAACATTAACACTGGCTCCTCAGTCAATGAATACTGAATGTTTCCACATAAGTATATGCCTAATATAACCATTAATGTAGTGATATGTAAATGACTACCTAATTAGCATAGCCAAAGTATAGAGACTATATAAGTATAGAGACTATATAAGTATAAAGAGTATGTAAGTGCCAAAAATGTATGGGAATTAGCAGAATATGATATGCAAGTTTTGCAAGTTGGACTTGGGAGATTTTGTTCATTGTATCTTGTTTATCATCTCTCAGTTGTATCTCTTTCTTTGGAAAGAGCTCAATTCAGTTGTCTTTGGCTTCAGGCATTGAAATCAAAACAGTGAGTGGTGCTCAATCCAGGGGAATGCCTGTCTGTGACAGTACCTTTCTCATTGCACTAAAGATTGGGTGGGTCGGTACTAATACAGCTCTGGTCTTGGTATACACGATTGTACTCCCAACATTAAACTGAGCATGTGTTGCATCTTACCTGTGTGGGACAGCAAGTACATATCAAATGTGATAGTCGAGATTAATAATTATCACTGGACTGAGAATATCAATATTTTTAACATTATAACAATTTAGTAATACTTAATTAAAGGCAGTAAATTTACTAAAATTATTATGTTTATTATTGTTTTAGTAAAGCCCATTCAATCCAAAGCACAGGATTATTGAATGAGTTATGTTATAGGAACGCAAAAGGACGTTGTAAGAACAAAAGATTATGAGGATAAGAAGGATAGATAACAATTCCCTTGTGATTTGGAAGAGGTTAACATTGTAATATTCGGGGAAGTATCAACGTGGGAGTCAGGCCAATTGGAATTTGATTCATAGCAATGAAATAAAGAAGAAATATTGGTGAGTTGATTTTGTGGACATAGCATAAGATGTTCTGTCAAGGTTTGAACTGTTATGACTAAAGGATGGAACTCATTTGAACTTTTGCAATGGAAATAGCGATAGAGTAGAGGCATAAAATTGTTTCTTATATAATCACTAACCATATAAAAATAAAAGAAACATCATTTGAGGACTTTTAACAGCAGTAACAACTAAAAAAGGACATCCCCATCAATATTAGAAAGAGCAATACCATTTACTGGATTTGAGAAACATTTTTTCCTGAAAAATTGTTTTAAGAGGATTGACAGTAACACTGGCTGCTTGGTCTATGAATACTGGATGTTTCCACATAAGGATACGTCTAATATAACCAATACTGTAGTGATACATAAATGACTATCTAATTAGCATAGCCAAAGTATAGAGAGTATATAAGTATAGAGACTATCTAAGTGCCCAAACAGTAAGAGAAGTAGCAGAATATGATATGCAAGTCTTGCAAGTTGGACATCTCTCAGTTGTGTCTCTTTCTTTGAACAGAGATCAATCCAATTGTCTTTGTCTTTGGGCAAAGTGCAACCAAAAAATTGAGAGGTGCCCAGGTGACAGTACATTTTACATTGAACTAAAGATTGGGTGAGTCTGTTCCAATTCTTTGTTTGGAATTTGCTTCTTGGTACTGAAATAATCAGGAAATATTGGTGAGTTGACTCCATGGATGCAATGTTGTATCAAGGTCTGGACTGGTAGGACAAAAGAATGAAACTAATTTGAACATTGGCCATGGATATAGTGATAGAGGCATAAAATTGTTTCTTATGTAATCACTAACCATATAAAAACTGTTACTTTTTACTTTGCATGAAATCTGATATCAGTTTTTTTCAAAGTTTGTTTTCAGGTTATACAATGGATGTGATTGCATCAACTGGCTTTGGAATTAATGTTGATTCACAAGAAAATCCTGACAGCCCTATCATCAAAAATGCTCAAAAAATCTTAACTGATACCTTTTCTCAACATGTGCAGGGATTATCAAGTAAGTAAGTAAGATAAGAAAAAAAAACATATGCTCATTCTAGCACATGCAAACAATTGTGTTTACAAAGACAATATTATTCTTTTAGGAAAAGGTACAAAGAAAATGATGTTAATAAAATGTTTTAATTTGATGGAGCCAAACAAGAAGTTATCTGTCCTTAATAAGAATATAATCTTAATTCAAAATTATTAATGAACATCTGTTCTTAGTTTAAAAGATTCTAAACAATTTTGAGGACAATAATTATATTGTATACAGCAGTAGATCATTTCACAGTTTAAATTATTTGATGCAACCATAAGTTCTATGCTAACATTCACACTTCTTGCTTGTGGAACTATCTTCCACTTTCTTCCTTTCAAAGATTTAAATGCAATGTCAATCATCATCTTCTGTCTTTTTCATGTACTTTTATTGTTCTTTCACCTTAATAATGTTTTTCTTTTTCACATATTTTTTCAAACGCATTAACCCTTCACATTTTAGTGGCTTTATTGTCTTTCTTAATTTGTAATTTATTGTGACAAGAAAGCTATCTGTGAATTTATAGCAGAAACTCTGAATACCATTTGCATTCTAATTATAGAAAGAGATCTGCAAGGTGTTCCTGATGACTTTGTCATGTGATTTACAACCTTCCCTTTCCTTCTTTTATCCTATTGATCCCTCATAATTGTACATTTGCAGAAAGAACACAAAAGTGAGTGGAGATTTATTCAAACTATTTAAAAATCAAAAGTGTTCTGAAATAAAAGGACATTTTGAAAAATTGTCTTTTTGTCTATTTTTTTCTTTATGTAAAATATTTCATATTTTTAGGTCATGCTTTTATTGATCATCCTGTAAAAATGGTTTTGTTTAATCTGTCATCTATTACAGTGATTTTTCCAGTAATCGCAAAAGTTGTCAACATGTTCAAATCTGGAATCGTGTTTGGCAATATGAGTTTCTTTCTTGATTTTTGCAAGGAATTGGTTGAAGAAAGAAAGACAGAGAAAAACCTAAGTGTAAGTATGTTTTCTGCAAAAATATCAAATATCTTTGAACTGTGTTGAATATTTTGAAATTTAATAGGAATAATTGCTTATTTTATACCAAATGAATATTTACTGAATGTTCTTTGATTAATTTGTGGCCATTCTTATCCCAAAAGACAATGGACTTTATCTTTAAATATGGCAAATGTTATCTCAATGGTTTCATGTTAAAAAGGGGGAAATGATGTTCTCAAATTTAGGGAAATGCATTTCTTTCTTGTTTTTTTTTTTATTCGAAATTGCAGAACTGCAAGGATCTGTTGCAAATGATGTTAGATGCTCAGCTTGAAGGACATGAAAAGTTGGACAAGAAAACTGAACATGAACTCAAATTGGAAAATGTAACAGACTGGAGAACAAAAAGAGGTAAAGGCAGTTTGGTTATCATTAAATCATAATTTACTGGCAAGGTGACCTGATGTTACCTGGGATGGTTAATGTTATGATATCTGATTAACATTTTACTAAAAACTGAAAATAAAATAATGAAAAAATAATGAAGACAGTTTGGTTTTGTTCTGAATGGAACATAATATGTGCCTCTACTCTTTGTTCTTGTAAGAGTCAATAAAACTCTTTGAAGAAAAGCTTTGTTTTGTATTCTTATTAAAGAATTCTTTATAAGACTGTAACCTTCATCATTCTCTTGTTTGGTTTCTTAAAGAATCCAGTCTCTGGCATCATAATTGGCTCTGAAATGGTTCATTGCTTAATTCTATCTCATTGGAACTAAGGAACATAAAACTTTTTTATATTCAGAATAAAATATTCATTAGTTTAAAGCCAACATGTGCAAATTTTAATATGAACTAAATATGACCCATATTTATGTCAATGTGGCATAAATTCACTTTTCAAATGTTAACTATTTGCAAACAACCTATGTCCCCTGAATCATTGAAAAGTTAAAAACTGACAAATTAAGTACAAGAGGTCAAAGGTTTACTTGTGACTTAATGCCATAGAAATCTGGTTAAACTGATTCCTTTACCAATTCAGCTACTTTATATTTTGGTTGATGTCAACTGAAAACATTTTCTTGATTTTTTTTTTCAGGTCTCACAGATGTAGAAATCATTGCACAATGCATGTTGTTTTTTGTCGCTGGCTTTGAGACTACAGCAGGCACTCTGTCCTTCTTTGCTCATTCTATAGCAATGAACCCTGATGTTCAGGAGAAAATTTACCAAGAAATAAAAGAAAAACTCGGCCAGGTCAAAACTTTTATCTGAATCTGAGTTTTTTAGAACTTGTATAGGTTTTGTTTTTTTTTATCCTCGTCTCTCTTTATTTCCAGAGATCTTTTTCCAAATTAAAGAATCAGGATTTTATAGGATTTCCCAATGTTAACAGATTTCCTTGATTATCAATGAATTTTCCCAATGTTTAAAGTTGCACTAAAACTTTATGAAATTTTCAGAATTTGGATGTCATTTGTTTTCTATCCTTCTCTCTGTTTCAAGAGATGCTTTTCCAAATTAAAGAATCAAGCTTTTTATAAAATTTCCTGACTTTATAAAGATTATCCTGATTATCAATGAATTTTCCCTATGTCTAAAGCTACAAGAAAACCTTATCTTTACTTATAGACCAAATATTTCCAAACATCTTTTTTTCAAATTTAAGAATCAAGATTTTATTTATAGAATTTCCTGATTTTAACAGATTCATTTGATTATAAATGAATTTAGCCAATGTCTAAAGCAGCACAAAAACCTTAACAATACTTATAGACCAAATTGAATGTTTCCAAATCAAACAAAAATTCAAATCCCCCTAATATTCTGCAACATTATCATTTTCTCCCATAAATTAAATATTTATTTATAGTAACAACTGGCAAGGCAAGTCACTTTTGCCTGGAACAAAATGATCCTTGAATAATGCCCCTACTTTTGAAGCAAATAGAATTTTTATGTTGATTGATATTGTTGTCGTATTCTAGGAATCTCCAAATTATGATAATGTACAGAAGCTGACCTACCTTGACATGTGTCTGGATGAAACATTGAGGATGTATCCAATTAATTTATTGTAAGTATCACAGCTTTTGAGTTTTCTTCTGGTAAAAACAACTGAAAGGACTCAATAGAAATGTGATAAGTTTTTCTTTACAGGTATGGCAAAAGGCAACTCCTCTAATTGAGCACTAACAACTCAATGGGGGAAGTAGGGAATCAAAATGAATATCACATATAATACATTATTATATTACATTATTTACATTATACGGACTATTGTTCTCACCTTTGTCGCCATATTTATCACAACGTTTCGGCCGTTGTACGCTCTGGCCTTCTTCAGGTGGTTGGAATGTCAAACTGAACCCTTTATTTCGCTCACTGGGGTAGACTGTTGTAGTTCCATGTGCCATGTTTGATGGATGTCAGTTATCAGTTGTCTCCTGTTAATTTTCCCTCTGAAAGTTCTCCACTGCCTTAACCGGATCCTGACACATGGCACAGTGGATAAAGGCGTTGGTTAGATCCAGTGACAGGACCCAAGGAGTGTGAGTTCAATACCTGGTTAAGACAGTGGAGAACTTTCAGAGGGAAATTAACAGGAGATAACTGATAACTGACATCCATCAAACATGGCACATGTAACTAGAAGTCTACCCCAGTGAGCGAAATAAAGAGTTCAGTTCAACATTCCAACCAACTGAAGAAGGCCAGAGTGTACAACGGCCGAAACGTGATAAATATGGCGACAAAGATGAAGACAATAGTCTGAATAATGTAAATAATGTACATAATACCTCATCTCAGAAATATAGACAGATTATTATATGAATTTTAAATTTGAAGTCCAGTTGACAGGGACCATGTCTCACTGGCATGCAGCATGGTGATGTGAATACAGGTGTTGTACACGTGCATGATCTCTGGATAGGTAGCAGCTGGTGAAATTTCTTCCATGTGACCTGGCAACATCTTGTAGCCTCTACCAACATCATTGCAAGCCTCTCACTACTCAATCGCTATTTACATGTTAAACATTATGACGACCTGCAATGTCATGTACACTGAGATAAATCATCTGTATTTCCTATTTCATATTCTGTTAGTAAGAAGGAAGTTTTATCTTTCCAGGAACTGCTACTTTGTAGAACAGACTCCCAAGGTGATGCTTCCCTAATGATTACAATCTTAACTTCTACAAGTGTAGAGTTAATCATTATCTTTCCTATATACACATTCATATAACATGTGCATAAATTGTGATTATTTGGAAACAGAAATCATTTGTAATCTTCTATCCATGAGAGAAATTAGATTTAATCATAACAAATATTATTGTTTTCTTTTTGTAAGGTTGTCAAGGCAAGCAAAAAAAGACTGCATTTTGAAAGGAATGAAAATTCCCAAGAATACTGGAGTCCTGTTTCCAATCATGTGTTTACATTATGATCCAAAATACTGGACTGAACCAGAAAAGTTTGATCCTGAACAGTGAGTATTAAACAGCTAAGTGGTGAGACAAGTAACCTGGAGGAAGTAAACTCTAGTTTTGTCCCTCTTAACACTTCTATAAGAAAACCATTGGACCTTTAGCCTTTAATTAGTTAGTGTAGTGAATAAAGGTCAAGAGGGCAGCTGATAAATCAATATAAAATGAAACAATCATAAGTTAATTCTCTTCATACACAAATTATTCATTTATACCAATCTTTACAATTGAGTATTTGATATAAATGTGTATAACAGACATTTTAGAAGATGAAATATTTTCATTTCTTTTATTAAGGGAACATGAAAGAGAACTGAAGCGTTTCTCCATCAATCAAAAGATCAGTTTGTGATAAACCGGGACATAAAATGAATGATGTTTCTTTGAGTCCTTCGATGCATGACCTCTGTAAAAAATATCAGATGCTTTGTATTCCAATTTTGTACACTTTTTATGTCCATATTAATTCTGTGGTTAACTTTGACATCTGCAAAAAAACTTTATTGATCATAGATTAGTGAAGGAAATTTTTTTTTTAAATAGCCAAAGCATTCTTTTAAAGGAAGTCATCAAAGGCTTACATAAATATGATGAATATTTTTGTCATTACAGCTTCAGTGAAGAAAACAAAGCCAAACAAATACCCTTCACTTATCTTCCTTTTGGTGCTGGGCCACGAATCTGTGCTGGAATGCGATTGGTGGATCTTGAATTCAAGATGGCTGCTGTGCAAATGCTACGGAAATTCCGTCTTGTTGCTTGTGACAAAACTGAAGCAAGTATTCCTAATTTTCACTGATCATCTTCATGTAAAATACAAACCCGATATAAGGTTGTACAAAAGGAAACTGCTAAGTTTCAAAAGATTTTTGTTGTTTTTTATCATTTTAATTATTTTTTTTACTTTAGTTCAAATAAGGTTACTTGCCATTGTCTAGTTGAAAATAGTTTCCAAAGGTTTATCTTTGAGAGTGAATTTTATTCAACCAATATTTAACAATAAATTGTTTAAACAAAAAAGAATCTTACTTAAAAATTGTAAATGTCTTATTGATTCCAAATTCCAAAAATGTTCCATTCTTTTTTCTGATTGGCAAATGTCAAACTGTACTTTCAAAAATTTGTTTTTCTTCCTTCATAAAGTAAATATGACATTTTAATTTTTGAATCTTTATATTTTAATAGAAAAGCACTTTGTAAATCAGATTTAATGGAAATTGGCCTTTTCATTTCAAAATCTTTCTACTTAGATGAAAACTGTCACTTCTCTCAAATAAAATCCTTAACCCTTTCAGCCATGCATTCATGAACAATTTTAATCCTGCCTGAGCTACTGAATCAAAATTTGCAAATAATTGTTCTGTTATGTTTCACGGTAGATATAAAAATAGTTACAAGTGTTTACTCACTGTTCAACCAGTGTCTGAGCATTAAGTCATTTTTCTCGACCACTGGTAAAGCATTGGTTAGGGCTCAAAGGGCTAATAATATTTGCATAAGAGAAATATGGTAGAATAATTGCAGTTCACAAATTACACTTAAGGAATTCAAACTTTATCCTCTTTAGTTCTTAGAATCAAAATTACAATGAGAGAATGAGAAAAATCAAAAAACTAGTTTTTTTCATATTGTCAATTAACTTCAATCACCCCCACCGTTTTTCTTTCCTTTTTCCTCTTGTAACTTGGTTCCTTTATTTTCTTTATTTAGCCATTTTGGATTTAAGTCATGAAAAAGAATGTCCAAAACGTTGTAATGATCTTTTTTGAGCATTGTAATTGTGTGTTTGTTTCTTTGCTGTTTCTCTCATCTTCTTCTTTCTCATGATAAACTCATTGAAAAGGATAAGAAACTAAAAAAGAAATTGTCAGCCATTATTTTTCATCCCTGAATTTGTCTTTCTTTTTTATTATTGCAGAAGAAGATTGAATTTGCTAGAACAGCGATGCTTAAACCAAAAAATGGAATCTGGATCCAAATTGAACACCGTTGAGAGTAAAAGAATATTTGTAATCAATCAGGGATTTAATTCCAAAAGACTAATTAAGATTCAATTCTTGCTGATTCCTGTTTCTTTTTTGGTCTTGACAATCTCAGTTTATATATTTATGTATTCTATACTTAAGCAATAAAATAAAAGTCAAACCCAAACTTCAGCAGAATGTCTATATTGTTTGTCATTCTCCACAAAATTCTCCGATGTCAGGTATGGGCAAACTTTTTCGACCTGCAGGCTCATCATAAAGCAAGCCACACAACTAAAATGATTCAAGGTAATTTTTTGTAGTAGGTGTGTTAACTAATTTCACTACAGAAGACCATATGCATAAGCATATACCTTAGAAATGGCAGGAATGTATTATTTTTTAGAAAAGATATTTTTTAATTAAAACCAAATTGAAGTCTTGGTATAATATTATCACTAATGACAATATGATTATCACATGTGGTGTGGGATTTATTTTGAATTGATACATTTGATAAACTTTCAGCTTCAAAAAAGTTGAAGGAATGAATGTTTCGTAATGCTTAATTATTTTTCGTTGCTTGTAGTTGAATATTCATAATCTTATGTTTGCAATGTTTGTAATTAAGTTTCATAAAATTCAATAGTGCAATTGAATTGTTTTTAGTAAGTTCCAAAAGAAATTGGTGAGTGAGTGGTTTAGTTGAATGTTTTAGCTAGAATTACAGTGAAGTTATTTCATGTTGAAGAACTTAAAATTCTAACTTTGTACTTCGCTGTCATAATGATACAAGCGTCATGAACTAGTTTAGCAAATGCTAGTTGTTCATAAATTCTCACTGGCGAGGTTCACTTGTACATTCTATTTATATGTTTTCTAGTCATGTGACAGGCTTCAAAAAGCATTTCTGATTTTTGGCAGAAAATGTATTTTTGTCAGTTCAGGAATTAGGTTGATGTTATTTGGACGTAGTTGAGAACATGATTTTAATATTATTAACTGACCAATTAGAAGTTTAGTTTTTCTGAAAATATGTATGAAGCTAGATGAGCTCTGTGATCTGCTTTTTGCACAAAAATCAACATTTATAAAAAAATGGTAGTAGAATACTAAACTGTCATATTGGAGGAAAGATAAAATTAAAAATTCCTCATTGCTTACATGCTCTGCCGATGGTATTCTCAGCATCCTTCTGTAGCATCACATCACTGTTGGTTCAAGTCTCCACTTCATCTGTAAGGTAATTGTCCAGTATTCACTGTCATATTAGAGGAAAGATATTATATATTAGTTTAGCACACTTTTCTTTGTTGCTAATGAAATTTTCCTGTTTCTTTATACTATATTTAAGTTTTGGAAGGCATCTTTTGCTATCCGAATGTGTTGTTGGTGTGTATAGGTTAAGGAAAAAGCTTAGATGCAAGTTAGAATAATAACAATATCTATTATTATTAGAAAAGCTAATACAGACATTGTCCTTCCCTACATAGAATATATAGTGTGACTTACCAGTGTGGTCCATTGTTGACACAAATAACAAGTATCCATTTCATGAGAACAGCTCTGGTGCTCCCTTCATCTTGAACTGGTCCTTTGGCCTAGGAGCAGGTCCCAGGTACTTGTGTGAACATCTATCCTCTACCCCAGTCCCTGTGTGTCTCTGAGTCTTAATAGATGTCACATGGTTTTGGGGGAGACAAGATTTTTCATTAACTCAACAGTACTTTTGAATTTCATTGTCACCTTTTCCTTCACCTGTTAAAACATTTCCCAATATTTAAACTCTTGTATTTTTCAATATTAGTATCTTCAATTCATAGTTTGTATCTTGAGTTTTCTCTTACTGAAAACCATCCATTTTGTTTTCTAACAATTGATGGTTAGTCCTTTCTTCCTGCTTTCCTTTTATTATCTTTATAGGAGATCCTAAAATGTGTATTCCATCATCAGTAATAGCATTAAATTTACATTATAGACATGATTACATATCCCTATTATTTGTAGATGATCTAAATTAGTTTCAGCAAAAAGATATAGCAATTTAGAGAGGAAACTACAAAAACTGTAAAACACCATTTGTATAATATATAAGATGAAGATGATGGAATAGTCAATACATACCTTTTCACCCCTTCGGAATAATACACTCTACCACAAAATTACCTATTAACCAATCAATACCCTAGTTCCAGTAAACTAGACTTTTTATTGGCTCAAACTGTAGCAAATTCACGCAAAATATCTTTTCTCCTTAGCTGTTTGGAGCCAATTCCTACAAGATAAAAAGGAAGCGTTCAGATCGATTCAGGCAGTCAGAATTTCATCCTGGAGTTGTCCAGTTGTGTCTGACTTGTGTTGTTGATTTGTAGACTTCGTCGGCAATTGTTTGTTTCATCCAGCGAGTAGCATATCTATGCTAAGTGTTGAACTTCATATTTGTCCCTTTCTTTCTTGAATTTTCATTTTGTGTTTTTCGTTTTTTTTCTAATTTCATTTCTTTTACTTTTTGGTCAGTCAAGTTTTTTTTTTTTAAGTTTTATGTTTTTGTTTACTATTAAGCAAGCTTTAATTTTTGTCCCCTTTTTTCTTTTTGCCTCGTCCCATTTTTTTTAATGTAAAGAGTTGCTTTTTTATTTTTTTATTTTTCATCTTCCGCGCTTGAGCATTTGACGTGTTTGTTTTTCCCATTTTCTTTTGTTTTATTTGTTTTTGATGCGTGACTTGCTTTTTTTGGCAAGCTAAGTTTTTATTTTTCTTTTATTGATCTGCTTGTTTTATATTTTGTTTGAAAAAGAAAAAAAAAGAAATTATAACAAAAGGCAAAATTTAAAAGGAAAAAACAAAGAAAATTTCATGAGTGACACTGATGAATCACCGCCGGAATCTGGCGAAATTCGAGAGACTGCATGGCAAACAAAAAAGACAATCAAAGACGCAGCTTATTATGCCAGTCTTAAAGCTAAATATGAGGAATACGTCAAGGGAAACCGATTTCCTCACCATCCCAGAAGCTTTGAATGCTGTAACTATGCGGACAATCTCACTGCTGACCTCCGACATTGAAAATTAATTGGGGTCAGCAGGGAAATGATGGAGGAGGCGTTAAAGACATTAAATGTTGCCCCACGGATGCTAGGAAGAAGGTCCAATGCCTTGTGGGACATTCTTCTTGCGAATGAAGAAGAGGCCAAAAAATTGGCCAGAAGCATTCTCACAACAAAAAATGTGAGAATGCAGACCGAATATATGGGGACTCAAAAAACTCGAGTGACGGTGCATGGAGTACCAGCGAACATAGGCGAGGAGCACATGGGAGCCTTTTTCGCACCGTATGGCAAAGTAAACGAGGTCTGTGTGGCCATCAACAAGTCAAGCATTGCCACTGGAGATATCATGCTCCAAATTACTCTCAACTGTGAGAGTTTTGGAGACATCCCGAACATTTTAATGTGTCGAGAGTAGAGGATGCTCATAGTTGTCGAGAGAAGAAGACAATGTTGTTGGACATGCGGTGCCTTAGGGCACATGTCAAAGGAGTGCCCTGGCAAGAAGGCAGCACAACAACCCCAACTGCAAGCCATGGCAGCAGCAACAACACCACCACCAGTAGCAGCAATAACAACAACAACAGCAGCAGAGAAACAGCAACAAAGGACCTCGAATAATCAATGGACAGAGGTCAGGAGGGGAAAGGCAACAAAAAGAGCACCCTCTCTGAAAAACCAGGAAGCACTACCACAGGAGCAACATGAGAAACAACATGAGAAGGTGAAATGGCAGCAGCAGCAACCATAACCACAGCTGCAACAACAAAAACAACAACTACAGCAATCACCACCACCATAACAACAGAAATCGCTGCCAAATTCTCCGAAGAACAAGAATGAAGAAAAGAAGCGACAAGCAGAGAAGAAACAGCAGCAACACTCCGATTTGGAAATGGAGGTGGAGGAAATGCCTCCACCATGTACTGCCTCCTTGAAGAGGACTAGGGAGAAGGAAGATGATGTAGAACCAGTGGGAAAACGTGCTGGCCAAAGTAGGGCCGAGAGGCACATGGACAAAACCAGGTCCCTTTCAATCCCTGCTTGGTCAACCCAGGATTTAACAGCCCAAACAAGGAGCCACTCTGCTTCACCTGTCCGTGCTTCTTCCCCCACTCCCTCAAATTCTTCACTCAGCTCCATCTCCACCCCCCTTCTTCTCCTCCCCACCCAGCAAGGGAGAAGAAGAAAAAGAAATGCTTCCCAGGACCTGAAACCATTTGTAAGGTTGATCGGGAGGAAGTCAAGAAAAACATGTCCAAACAGAAACGAGCCATGTTGGGACTTTTACTAAAAATGGACAAGGTTGGCGGCAAGTCGGTGGAGGACCACCGGAATTTTCCTCACATCCCTGGAGTGATTACCTTAGTGAGGGATACTGGGGGTTACCTCAAAGTTTGGAGCCACCCTTTTGAGGCCAAGGAGGCCTATACCAACTTGAGAGTCTCCGAGCTGAAGAATGCCAATCTGAATAAGTTAAGACATTTTTGCTCTGGGAGGGTCCCTGTGTTGTTCCATCCCTCTCTATATAGGGCTATCAAATTAACATACCCCACGGACGTTGGCAGTATTGTCTTAGACGGTCGTATAACGATTGATCTGGGAACAGTGATCCTAGGACAATCCGTCGGGGTCCTGACATCTGCAGATATCTGTCTGGTATGTGAGTACGTTTTTTGCTTTTTCTCTTTTTATTTTTGCAGACCTAAACCATGTCTATCAAGATAGCGACTTTGAATGTGAAGGGCATTGAGGTATCAGTGTAAGGCTTCTCGCCTGCTCCGGGATCTCTTGTCCTTTAGCATGGATGTTGCCGTGATCCAAGAGACCCACTTTTTTTGCAGTTCCAATGCATGTGTGCTGTCCAACAACTTTGTCATCTATTCAGCCTAGGGGTACCAGGTTGCAAGAGGAGTTTCTTTGCTGGTGAAGCGAACTCTAGATGCGAAGGTGGACCTTGTTTATACCAATGCCGAGGGACGGTTGATCGTGATCGATATTGCCGTGAAAAGTGGTTCATTTCGAGTCCAACAACCAGGAGGAGCAGGTTTTGTTTTTTCGACGGTTGGGGCCTTTCTTGGTGGATTCAACGCACTTAGTTCTAATGGGGGACTGGAATGCCATCCTGGAACCCCAAGTTAGGGACGGGGTGCTAGAGGGAGAAGGGGCGATCGTAGCTTGGTCAATCTGATCAACGATTTTGGTCTCGTTGATAGATACTGGGTCGATCACCCCGGGGGGAAAATGTGGACGTGGGCTCTTAGCTGGCCTTGTGACAACGTGGTTAGCTACCTTGACAGAATGTTAGTTAGAGGAGCCGACATAGATTTGTTAGATTGTCCCACGTTCCACTGGGTAGGCTATATGGACCACAAACTCATTTGTGCCCATGTGGCGTTAGATCATAGGCCTAGAATGGCTGGTTACTGGAAGTTCAATCTGTCTTTACTGGACAGGCGGGACTTCCAGGAGCAGCTAACTAGCTTAGTGCAGCGGGAGTTAGTGGGGGTGGTTATCGGGAATAAGTGGTGGGATCGACTTAAGAGTAGGATTAGGTCTTTCACCACGGATTTCAGCAAACGGCTCACCCTAGACAGAGCTGAGAAGGTGAAGACGCTTAGAGCTAGTCTTGCCCGGGCGGTGGCTGGGGGATCCCCTAGAGATAGCCTTAGCTAGGGAGGCCGTGGAGCGTTCAAATAGTGAGTGCTACATGGGCCAGGTAATTAGACACAGATTAAGCAAGATGTCTTCTGAAGCTGCAAACATGGGCGCAGAATTGTGCAAAGAAGAGGTCCGTCGAGGTGGCGATCATTACATTTGTGAAATCAAAACCCTGGAGGGGCGTACTCATCGGGCCACTGACAACATATGTGAGGCATTTTGGTGGCATTTCGAGAGCCAGTTTACCAAGAAGCCTGGTCTTCGTGATGACTAGTTTCGCAGCTACTTGGCTGACTTTCCTCGGCTTTCACCGACTGAAGCAGCTAGCTGCGAGGGAGAAATCATGGAAGGCCAGGTCTACGCAGCATTGAAGAAGGTCAGCAGAGGCAAGTCACCCGGTCTGGATGGTTTTCCCTATGAATTGTACTTGAGGCTGTTGCACATCTTTGTCCCAATTTTGACTGTGGTGTTCAACAACTGGTTCCGGCAGGGGTCCCTCCCCAACCGGTTTTCCAGGGGTGTGATCACACTGTTGGAAAAGGGCAAGGGTGTTGAGGGGGAACCTAAATGACAACAGGCCCATAACTCTTCTAAACACAGAGTTAAAGATTTTGGCTAAGATCCTGCAGGAGCATTTGCAGTCAGTTGCCGAGTCTCTTTTGGGTCCTGAGCAGACTTGTTCTGTGAGAGGCCGAACAATTCAGAACAACCTGCATCTGATCTGCACGATCATAGAGGGTGTAAAAGACGACGATGAGGCAGTGCTGATCAATTTAGATCAGTCCAAGGCATTTGATAGGGTTGACCATCGCTACCTTGCTACTGTCCTGCAGGCCGCCGGATTCGCACCCGACTTCTGCTGCTGGGTTAGCCTCCTGTATCGCTCCCCTGGTGCTGTGGTACAGGTGAACGGGAAGCTGTCGAGTGCTTTTACGCGGTCTAGGTTGGTCGGTCAGGGTTGTCTACTGTTGCCCCTACTTTATGCTTTGGCATTGGAGCCTCTCCTTTGCCGGCTGAGGGACAGGGCATGCAGTCCGGCCCTACGCGTAATCGCCATTCCTGGCGGGGCTCGAGCCAGGGTTTCTGCGTACGTTGATGACGTATCTGCTTTCGTGTTGTCCCGCAGCGACTTTGAGGTGGTACTGAAGGCACTTGATCGGTACGAGAAGGTGACAGGGACCAAGATTAACAGTGACAAGTCCTTCGGCTTGCGGTTAGGTGCCTGGAAGGGGTCGATCCTCCGGGGCCCTTTGGTTGGACAAACAGTCCTGTCCGCATTCTTGGAGTGTGGTTTGGACCCGACCTCAGGTAGAATGGTCTGAAGTCCAAAGGTCGACGCTGCCGGGCAGACTTTTGGATGAAGACGGACTACATACATTTTTCCCTCTTGTCCGTACTTTCTCTGTGACAATGATAGAAAGTTTATCCTCCATTTATGGACCCGACCTCCAGGTGGAGGGAATGCCAAAATTGGTGCCTCGAGGGTTGGCTTTCCTGCCCGCGCGATGGGAGATTCAAATGGTGGGGATTGTTGACGTTCCCTTTCCTTACTATCAGCCCCCCACCTCGGCGGGCAGGGATCAATTTTCCTTCGCTTGTTGGTCATCAATGAGGAAGGTTTCTCGCGTTGATGTGGTGCAAGGATTCCTGGAGATTTGTGGAGGAGTTTTGCTCTTACTGGTCTTGGTCGCCATTTTCCCTCTTTTTCGTCCTTTGGATGGAATCGGTTGTCTCTCAATGACAAAGGCCT